ACTCTGGGAGGAAAATGTATGGTTACATTCATGCACTGTATACCTACTCTTCGACTAAATTCTGTGAGGAAAGGGATTTTTTTTGTCTGGCTTGTTCACTGCTATGTACCTACTACCTGATACAGTACTTGGCAAATAGAAGGCAAGAAACATGGGCAGCCTCTAGAAACTACAAAAGGCAAGAGAACAGAGTCTCCTTCAGAGCCTCCAGGAGGAATGCAACCCTGCCAGTACCTTGATTTTTAGTTCCATAAGGCAGATTTAGACTTGTGACCTCCTGAACTGTAACATAATAAATCTGTATTGTTTTAAACCACTATATTTGTGGCAATATATTACAGCAGCAATAGGACACTATTGTAATGTGAACAATTTTCTGGTTCCTTATTCATGGGTTGATAGTGATAGACTGTCCCCAGATCAGAAACCCAACAGCAGGGAGCAGGTGATGTAAGGGGGTTGCCAGATTCATATGTCAGAAATGTAATTTATTTTTTATAAGTTAAAATAACTCAGAAGTAAAATTTCCTATCCTACCTTTCACATATTGACAAAAGTGCTATGAAAGGGCAATATGTTAGTTGGGATTAAAATTAGTCAGTTATTCAGATCTTGAGAAAACAATGGAAAAAGAACAAATGTTGAGACACAACTTATTTGTAAAAGGTTTTAAAGTCTGCTTCAAAACTGAAGTCAAATAAATAAAAAAGACAAAATTAAATATCTATTGATAACAAATTATTTCAGCCTCTAGTACTACAGGTGCAAAGCAAGCATGATCTGAGAATAATGAAGTATCTAGGTTAGCAAGCATAGTTATAATTAATGTACTGAGCCTATACAAAGCTTTAAAAATATATAAACACACATGCACATAGATCTGGCCCTAGCACATAAACACACATGCACACAGATCTGGCCCTAAAAATAAAATTATTTTGATATGTATTTAAGGTTAAAGTTCCCCACTATACAATAGTATAATAAAGGTTTTTAACATGTCGAGTTGCTTTAAAAATTAATGCCTAGAGTTCAAGTTCTGCAGCTTCCAAAGTGGAGTGTGATTCGGTTTTGTTTTGTTTGGTAGGGGTCTTATTTCTCCTTCAGTCAAAAAGCTCATATAATTTGAACTTGCTTTTCTTTTTAATATGTATTTATTATCTATTTGGCTATATATACATATGAGTTTAATACTAAAGTTAAGCCTCCAGGAGCTACATACTTTACATTAAGTATGGAAATATAGTGCATATTTCTACTCTATATAATTGTCTACATGTGATTATATTAGGTGTTACACTTGGTTTCTGAAAATTAAATGTATTTTTTCTAATAGCTAAAGGTAAAAGGAAGAATTTGAATACCTAAACAAGTAACATCTTAGCAGTGATTTGCTAATTCCCTCACTATGACAATTCCCCCATTGTTTAGCTCATTGGGTCTTATGTATTATGGGAACAATGCTCTCTGTATATGGTTTCCTCGACAGGCTCAATTTCATCAAAGACCACAGTCAATACACCTAGTCTCCTTTCTCTCCATGCCCCATCTCACTCCTCTGCTCTAGTCATTGTGAAATACTTAGTCACTGGAGCACAAGGTGATACTGGAGTTCCACTGAAGGAGCAGTTACTGAGTACCCACAATGTGCTAGTTATGTTATTATCATGAGCATGATTGTGATAATCAAGATTACAATGATAACAACATGCATTATGATCAATAACATGATTATGACTCAGTAAAGGGAGAAGAAGCAGAACTCTGATATGTGGTACCAAACCATCTCTGAGGTGATCAAATTAGCTTGTTTGTAACCAGGGTAGTTTACAATGAATTTGGCATTAGTGAAGACTATGTCTCACAGTTTATAGGATCTACTAAGAGGCATTATGCAACAACCTGCAGTGGGGGAGGAATGTAACTAACTGACCAACAGACTGATTGAAAAATAATTATTGATTGTATATGCACCCCCTTTGAATTTGTTGTCTGTGATATTTTACATGCCAAAAAGAAGATTTTCAGGTAGGGAAAAAACATGGAAGGCTTTAGTAAACAAGAAAAGAGATCCCTCAATCATGTGTTGTAGGAGATGCCAGAAAGAAAGTAGTCTGCATGTTGTTTAGGCTAAAAAATAGTGTCCTTTTGATAGGTGCAAAGCACGAGACATAAAGGAAGGAGAAAGGAAAAATGGCATGTCAGCAAAAGGAAATGAATGCCCTTCTTCTTGGATAAATTGTGGTGAGGCTATACAAAGCCAAAGCAACTAGCCCCTAGTGGTGTGGGAATAGATCAGAGTAGGATGAAAAGAAGCAAGACAACTTTGAGGATCCCAACTGGACATAACATGAAAGATGCTTATAAGGGAGGTCTCCCCCATAAAATTATACATTGTAAGCTAGCTGAGAGACAGTCTTCACCACAGAATGTTAATCCAACAAAAGTAGGAAATGCAAGTGACGTGTTCACTGTTCAATCCACAGCCCTGAGCATAATGCCTTAACAGATACTTAACAGACCCTTAATAGATACTTAAATATTTGCTAAATAAATGAGGATCATCAAGAGATCTATAATTTCTCAGATTTGAGGCAGAGATCAGGGGTTACCAGCTTTTTGCATAAATAAGTAAGTTAACATTGTTTTATATTATAAATATTTATATCCAGAACTTACTAGTCTATTTTTCAGGTACTCCTAAGAGCACTGATATTTGCAGGCTGATGTTGAAAAGATGCAATATGTCAATGTGCCACTTCCCATATTTGAATTAAGTTGTACTTCCATATGTGATTTGAGGGAACCATTTCAGTCCTATTGAAGTCTGCAAGAGAATCAGTAGGATGTTTAGTGTGGCATTTTTTCAGCTTATTACACATCAGGTAGAAGAATGTAGTAATACTGGAAACACAATTCTAAATTACTGATCTGAGCCCAATAATTTCTCAGAAACTAAATATGCTGGGCCATGTTGTTAGTTACTTTATATGTAAAAAAATATCCTTTAGCAAATAAAATTGGATGTGCATTGGTCAGGAATAAGACACCTTGAATTTTTTAAAGTCAAGAATGTAGTGTGATAAGTGAAAATAGATTTTGAGGCACTAATGATATGATCTACAATGCAAAAACTCCACACGTGGTATTACTAGCTGCTGCAGTACTCTCAAATGCTAATATAATTGGGCTGTCAGGCCTACAGCAGTGTGAAAGGTAAGCTATGCATCACAGAAAAGACCAAAAAAGTGTGCTTTATCAAAACTGCCACTTCCCACACTCAATTTATTTTCACAGCTTACCAGACAGTTCACCACCATTCACAATAGGAACAAGAACAGGTATATAGGAAGAGAATAACAATGAGTTTAGTTTTGGACATGTCACGTGTAGGTACCTGTGGAACATCTAAGCACAGAGAGTTTCTACAATGATTCCAATTTTGCTTCTCTCAACCTTTGGAACATATTTTCTCAGCCATGATCAGTTTTGTCCATTTGTCAGAGTGTGCTTTGCAGATACAATCATTCCAATGTGTGTCATGACCTAAATATGTCTGAGAATCACAGGTTCAGTGGGCAACTGGGTACATTAGTTTTGAACTCATGAAGTGATGTGCGGGTGAGAGATTCTGGGGTGCTGTCAGCACAGATGTGAGTAAAAACCACATAGACAGTTTTCCACTCCTAGCCATGTTGGAGTAACTGGCACCAGAGTTGCCCTCCTGCTCCAACATGTAGAATACTGTACAAAACACATGAAAGAATTGTTTGTAGTCATTATACAACAGATAGCACAGGAGTATGACTCTGAAAAAGGGGAAACAAACAAGGTGATTCCTACCATCCCTATAACTTGCTACCTGAAAAGCACTTTCTGGATGGTAGTATAGGCCGTGAGCACTCAAGCTGAGGATGGAAGCCTTGTTCAGTTGAAAAGACAGAGTTCAGAGAGGCTGAGGCAGCTAGAATTTGAAGGGCAGAGTATCAGAGAAGGGGAGCTATGTAGAGAAAGAACTTAAAAAAATCCTACCCTTGGGTCCCCTTCACTCTGTTGTTGAAGACTAAGCCATGAATACCTAGAATAAAAATTCATGAGGCTAGACAAATAGCAGGGAGCTTTAAGATGAAAAATTTCCAAAACTCACACAGAACTAGGAGATGTTTATGTTCTAATTAGTAAGAATCAAGAGAAAAAATAAGTCCTACCTTAGTAGTGGGGCTAAACTAGCCAGCAAAGGATACTCTTAACAAGCTTAAAAAGAAGCCTCAATTTGATCAAACTAAGCCACAAATAACTGTCTATGAAACAAAATTCAATACTCTTTAAAAAAATGAACAAAATCAAGACACTCAATAAGTCACAATGTACAGCATCCAAAAAAATTATTAGACATATAAAAACAGAAAAATGTGACCCATAACCAGGATAAAATCAATCATCACTAGGAAACCATGTAGAGGAAGAAGTGAAGTGGAACAAGATACAATGCTGGGAAATACACAGACAAGATTTAAAAGATGGAAAGAAGAAGAAGGACATGATAAGAGTCACTTGGAAGTAATAATACAAGAAGTTAGCAGAATCAGGAGACTGTTGAGGTCTAGAAGTCATATAAGGAGAAAGTTTCAAAAAGGAGGGAGTGGTCAACAAAGAGATCAAGCAAGATAAGAGTGAAAAGTGTCCACAGCCTTTCACAAGAAGATACCTTCTAAGCCTGGCCAGAGTAGTTCCAGTGAGGAGGTTGGCGTAGTTATCAGACTGAAAAGGGTTTGAGGAGTTAATAAGATGTGAGGAAGGAAAGATGACAGTCATTTCTTCAAGGCAGCATTGCCTCTGACCCAGGTTAGGCAAATATGTGTACATTTTATCATAGAAATTTAAAAATATATATATATATATTCTACAGCCTTCTTTAGCAATATCTCATTTCACCTACAGTCACATTTCTTCCTAATACACAAACAACTCCCAATAAGAGTTATGAAAATCAAAATTACCAAAAAAGGCATTCAGCAGCTTCTGAACCTGGATGTTGCTGCCCACAGTACGGTACAATCCCTCTGTCTTGATCCCTAGGGAAAGAAAATCAGGTCAGTTTTGTTATTATAGGCAGAGATTTTATTTCCCTCAAGGCAGAAAAAGTAGGTACTTGTACACTGGAATTGGTTCAAACAGGAAAGTGTCCCCCTGTTTTCTCCAAACTTTCCAGCCCTCTGAGATACAGTAAGAGTCCTGAAGCATCTCAAAATTATTATCTCCATACTTTCATCTGTATTGTACCAAGTCCTCACTCATCTGAGCAGAACAGAATATTCTCTGTAGTAAATAGAAGAATATGCTTAGGTGGGTAGTAGTGGATGGCTGAGATAGAGTGAGCTATAAGACTGGTGCTACCATCGTGGAAAGAAGCTAAGGTTTAATTGAAAAAGGAGGAAATATCAACATTCAAGCTGCTCCTGAGCAGTGATATAAAGAAAGAGAGGGCTGGAGTATAGGAAATATAAAGCAAATGGCTATTTTGTACATGGAGATAGATTGAAGCAACGTTTCAAAAAAAAAAAAAGAGGCTTGGCTCATACACTACACCCACCCACATTCTAAGTATTCTCAGAGAGACACTAAAGAGTATTGTCAACCTGGAAAAATGCTGACTCCACATTTGTCTGAGTTTAGCTTTGTCCCCATCAATTTTTAAGCTAATATGTATTGTGGCAGAAACTAAACTCTTGGTTATTTAGGATGGAACCATCATAACACTACTTGAGGGCCAGGTACTATTTTATAATACTTCACAAGCCATCGAAAGTTCTTTCTCTTTAAAAGCAGGAAACCTCAAATAATCTAAATATGCTTGGACACCACTGGGTGTTAATTTGCCAAAATTTTACAAACTGTTTCTAGTCCTCAAGGCTTATAAAGAGTCTTTATTCAATGGATCCTGACCAAAGGACATGACATCATTGCTACTTGAGAGAACTTGCCCCAGGATAAATTCAGAGTGACCAGATTCAAACACTGCCTGTGTAAGGCTATGGTTCATATCTTACCTTTGGTCTCAATGACATTGATGCACTTTCTAACAAACTTGAACCCCACTTCATTCAGCTCCACTGTTTCAAGCAAAGGAGAGCAGTGTTAGATCCTACTATAACAAGCCTCACCTACTAAGCATTCAATGATCATGCTAAAAGACTGCAGTGACAGGACAAGGGATTTGGTGGCTCATCTCCAATCACCTTAAATGGAAAGATCCTTTTATTTGGGGCTGGTAGGATTAGAGTTTTTACTCTTAGAAGAGAAAATGCTTTTAGTTAGCCCTTTGCCTTATGTCTGTTTTAGGTGTGCGCAACATCAAATGTGAAACATTAGGCTAGAAATGCATTTAAGTTTTTATCATATGTCTAGAACAAGAAGGATAGAGTGCTTCGCTATATTACTATTACTACCCCCACCATAAGTTAAGATAAAGTGACTAGCCTAGTTTGATCAACAGGCACACTTAAAAAAATATATCTTAAATCCATTCCACACAGAGGGGTCCATAAACAAACTTGCGTTAATATTACATATCACTGACGATAGCATTTACTGTGATTAGGACAGCTGGCAGTTTATAATGTTAGTAGATCACAAATTTTACTTACTTTCTTCCTGTTTTGTTATGGGGCTGTGGTAGATCTACAAAACAATAGAAACAGAAAGAGCTATGGCCACTGTGGATCACTATACATAGGTAAGTATGGCAAATAATATTAAGTCTCTTTCCCCAGATAGTCCATCAAAACTGTTAGAGACTCTAAGGCTTTAATGAGAAGAAGTGGGCTAAATAGAACCATCTTTGCCTAGGTCCTTAGAGAACAACTGTGAACGATCTCTGAAGAGTACACTGGATTTCATACAGCTCACTGCAGCTGAAGTTATAGCCTACCCATCTTAGACCTTTACTTATAGAAAACTTCAAAAATTTTTTCTGATGAAGCAAGAGAGCATGAGAAAAAGGAAGTGATTTTCTCATGGATACCTAGGCAATGGGCACCAACAGTACAATTTAAATATTCCCAATATCAAATCCTTCCCCAAAGACAAATTAATGTGTCAATATTAATTAACTAACACTGTGGAAAGGCAACTGTCCATCTGAAAGAATTCCATGTATTGACCTAGATTTCTCTGAGTCATCCTGAAGTATGTATGCACTGTGATAGCTGAGTGAAAGGCCAAAGAGATCCTTGATTGTTGAAGTCTAGTTCTGGCTCCACCACTACCTCATTATGAAATCCTTGGCATGTCCTTTTTGTTTGCTAGACATGCCATATCTCTAAAATGATCATGGTTGGGCTCCTTCAAGTCCTGATCTTTTGTGACACTTTAAGCAAAGGAGTACAAACCATGTGTAAAATTAGTGGTTTGGGGTGTTTAGGACAAGCAATAACATTAGCAATGTGAGGCTGCAGGAAATAAGTCTCCTCTATATTCCATATGTTAGAGTCTGTTTTAACAATCTTTCTTTTTAAAAGAAAATTTTCTGCATATGTGTGTATGCCCATGGATATTTCAGTGAGAGATTTCTGTGCTTGCCAGCCCTTGCTGCCATTTTTATAAACAAGATATTTGTGAAAAGTCTGCCATAATCAAGTTGGTAAGGACAAACATTCAGAGGCCCATGTTCTAAAATCATTCTCCACAAAAAGCCATCTGCATCCTTTGATCTTTATGACCTACACAAAGAGCAAGTTCAAGATAGGGAGTCAAGAGTAACATGCCTTATTGAGCCTCCTAGTATCCTCCTAGAGAAACATCACAGACATGTAAGAGGTCAGCTCCAGGTTTCTGAGAGGGAAGAGAGGGGAGGCAGGTCTGGGCCTACTTTCTGGATAGCAGTCCTCACAACACTGCTTGTCTGCTGCTACTTTCTTGGTTGCTATAAATGCAATCTGAGATTTATGCACTACTCTTTAGTCTCCAGGGCACTGAGGACACACAGAAAAGAACCCTTGGTATACACTTCTCCTTAGCAAGTTTTTCTTGAATTAGACTGTATCTGAATACTGTTGAATCTCCTTGCACCCATTCTTCAGACCAGTTAACACATTAAGGTTGACAGACTGGCTTTCATTTGATTTTTCAAAGAAACCCTATGACATACATAGAGCAGAGATTATTAAAGCCATTTTACTGGAGAGAAGGAAAACTTGCTCAATGTCACACAACCACTGAATGGCAGAACTAGGATCCAAATCCAGGCTTTTGGGATCCCAACACTAGAAGGCTGATTTATTTCATGTGCCACTGGAAGAAAACTACTCAGAAGATACTGAAGAGAGAAGATGCTTTTCAGTGATTTCTGACTATTCGTCTTGGTCTTTCTAATAATAATCACTAACCCTTTTAAGGTATTGCTTGTCCTCCCATGTAGCACTGTTCTAAATGGAGTACTACATCTTGGGGCACAGGATGGCAATGCCATCTCTTCCAGCAGGGGGGAAGTAAATCCATTTTCAATAAAACCTTAATAACCTGTTCACAGCATTTTCCATCCTTCTATGTGAACACATAGTAATTTTATAAACTGAAAAATGTTTAATTTTCTTTCTTAAGATCTTGTGGGCACAGTTGTATATACTGGAATAAGAACATGGGAGACCTGGATTCTAGGACCAGCTTTGATGCATTTTTTGGAGGTGATCTTAGAGAAGCCCCTCACCCTTTCCAGAACTCAAGTTGTCTTACTTGTTAAACACATGATGTCGAATCAAGTTCCTTCTAGCTCTAAAATTTTGAGTCTGAATGATCTATTACCATCTAAGTGTCCTAGATCCACTGGTACCACTAGAGGGCACTCATACATTGTACTATGTTGCTAGGATTTCCCAGTGTCTGAGGTAACTTACAGGTTCTTTTCCATCCATGGCCTCCATCCATAGCCTTCTGTTAGCTTCTGAAAGGGCCTGCAGAGTGATGGTTCCTGGCCTAAAGAAAAAATGAGAAGTTGAAAGCAGAAAATTCACCTGAGAATGGAGCCTTGTGATCTAGTATCCCTCTCAGCCCTGAGAAGTGTCACACTGAGCAGGCACAGGCAAACAGAGCTCCAATTTTCCAAAATGTCTTATACTCAGAAAAACAATAGAACTTTGGGAACCTTGGAGGAGTAGTATCTTGGCAGTCTCATGCCAGTGTCAGGAAAGGCAATAGGAAGGCAGATGCAAGCACCTCACTAAAAACACACTTGGATTGGCCCCATTGTGCTTGAGCCAAACAGAGACTCTCTCTCCTCTCTCTCTTAGAAGCCAGCCATTTGGTGTGGGCTCTAGAAGTGAGCAGGTACATCACAGGCACATTCATCTATCAGGAAAATGGCCTTGCTACTGCCACCACCTAGAATGTCCAAGGAACATATCAAGTCGGAAAGAATTTAACAACAAGCACCCTGGCTCAGCCACAGGGAAGAGGCCTTTTGGCTGACTTAAGCACCTTATGGCTAATAATAACTAATAGCTATTGAATGCTCACTTGGTGCCAGATCCTGTTGTAAGTACTTTATAGGTATTAATTCATATAATCTACCAAGGAACGCTATACAGCAGGTGTTATATTAATCTCTATTTTAAAGAATGGGAAATGTAGCACAAAGTGGTTACCCAAGCTCACATAATGGGTAAGCATAGAGCCAGGATTTGAATTTAGGAATTCTAGTCCAGCAGCCATGTTCTTTCTTAACCACTGTCTTAACATGATAAGGCCTCTTCTGCACGGCAGATAGCCTCAAACCCAATTTTATTCTATTTACTTGCAGGCTACTTATACTCAGAGATACTCCAAGTTGGTATATTGTACGTGGTCCTTACGGACCTTTACAATCAAACTGGAAATTTGGGAGTCACCCTATTATTGTAGGCATAAAGTCTCATTGCATTCTCTGCCTAGCTGTGCCATTATGAGAATCTTGTTCCTTTCACTCCTTCTATACCAAGGTAAGGCCTCTGTCAGAGTTACAAAATGATAAGGGCAATGACAGAGGAGTTCAGAGACCCTGGAAAAAAATCACTGGGCCTCTCTGAGCCTCAGTTTCTTTATCCATAGGAGTGTTGGAACAAACAAGCTGGGAGATCCTTCCCAGTTCCAGTATCATGGGTTTCCTGATCTACCTGCCCTTCCATATCTTACTTCATTAAAACACTCCTTAAAAAGGAAAGCGTCCAAATGTTCTTTAAGCCAGAATCAATTGAAAATCAAGACTTGGCTTTGGGCACTGGATTCTTTCAAGTTTGCTTTTTTCTAAGAAACACTCAATTTTCTGGATATATCTTATGGGGCTAGAAAGTACAGAAATGTTTGTAAAGACAGTTACACAGCTGAAACATGAAGCCAGAAAAAGGAGAGGAAGCAAATGGGAAACCTACATAAAACAGACAGTGCAGGCCAGATTTGCTATTAAACCCATTCTGGAGCTCAGCTTCCCTATCTAGGAAATCAAAAAGCCTGTGTGTCCTCCTCTTACTTTATAGAGAAGATGGAAGAATAAACATAAGTGACTAGCCAGGGAGCATCTAGAGATTCTTGGGTGCTATGTAAAGTCAAATTCAAAGAACAATATTTCCAAGAACAGGATGACAAAGTAAAAAAGTACTGACTTCTAGTCCAGGCTCTTGCGTTAATTACCATTATGACCTTAAACAAATCCCTTGCCCTCCTGGCGGCCTCAGAAAAAAATCTCAGCTATCTAGCACAGAAAGGCTTATATTGCACATTCGCATGACAGTGTAGTAGTTAAACTAGAATGCCTGGACTTGGATCCTGGCTCCACCATTGACTAGCTATGTAACCCAAATAGCTTAACCTCTGTCTCTTTGTCTTTTTTTATGAAATTGGGATAATAACGCCCCCTACCTCATGTGACTGTGGTGAAGACTAAAGAGAATTAAACACTTAGAATGGTGCCTGACATATAGGAAGTACTCAGCAAATGTTAGCAGTTGTTGGTTGCTGTGGTGGTTGTTATTATTACTGCCTTTCAAGCTCTGATGGACTATGAGCCTATGGTTTCAAACACCGGGAGAGGCACTAAAAAAAAAATGTTATCCTCTATTCCTGAAAGAGAAAAGGGGCCTCAAAGAGTCCTTTGCTCTGTGCTGCAGGGAACATGAGTATGGGGGCCTGAAGCCAGCTGCAAGCCTGACTCTATTCCTTTTATCACATTGACTAGCCAGGAAAGCAGATGTCACTTTCCCCAGAAAACCACATGTGTGGGTGTGCCTTAGCACCTGCTCATTACTGTATTTAACCCTGTATTTCACAGGAAATTTATTCTGGCTATAGGAGTTAATGAGACAAAATTTAAAAAGAACATGGGCTTTGAATACAGACACGGGTTTGAGTTTGGCCTTACTGCTATGTGACTTGGGCAAGTAAGTCAGTTAAATGTATTCAAGATTTCCTCACCTGTAACATGAGGGAGGGATTTAAATGAGTGCATGTTTTTGAAAATGCCCGGTATGTGGAAACTAAACTTACTGATGCATCAAAATGTTAATTTCTCGCTTCTAGTCCCAGAATTCCTTAGTATTCTAAGGGGAGAAAAGAACACATTTAAAAATAAGTACCAAATTTAGTGCCTGCCATAAGCCACACATGGCATGAGGATCAAGATATGTAAAGATGAATTGGTCCCAGCCCTTAAGCTCAGAGCTAAACTGCTTGCAAATGCTTTGAATCTATGAGAATATTATTGGCAAGTAGCTTGCAAATTTTAGCTGAAAGGATATCAAAATAAAACTAGACATAGAATATTTTAATTTATTTTAAGCACCTTAATGTTGCAGAACCAGAGACAATAAAAGTTGATGAAAGGGAAGCCAAAACCCACAGTCATTCTCCCTGGTAATGTGAGTATAGTTCCTCTTTCTTACTGGGCCAGAAGGATATGGAAAATGAGTGACAGCCTCATGGTTACCAGTAACAATGTTTACTATCACAGCCATCTTTGATTGGGACCTTTAAAGAATGGACCCAAACAGATTCACAAACAGAAATTTAAAGTGGGAAACAGGCTAGTAGTTACTTGTTCCAAGACTCAAAAAAATGCCCTCATCTCAGTCTAATTTTATGATTCCAGTCACTGATAGTTTTGCTCATATGCTATTTTAATTCAACCTTCAACTTCTTTCTAGCAAATTCAGTGCCTAATGCATTGAAGCAATATAGCAGAATAAAATACAGAAACATTTATTCACTGAATTTTCAATCAGTCTCCCAAATGTATAGCATACCTTTTTCCAAAGTAACTAGAAATGCTCTCATTTTAAAATATAAAGATTACATTCCCCTCTAATACAATTGCCCAGGTTCAGAAAACAAAGAGAGAGTGCTGGAGAGAAACAAATGCACCCAAGTCCAAAGTTCGCAAACCTTAGCTGACATAAAATAGTTGAAAATCAAACTATTTCCAGTTTGCATAAATGTCTGAAAAGTAGGGAAATTTCTGTATTATGTTTGCACCAAGTGGAAGAAAAAGACTCCCAGTACCACTACCACCCTCCAACCCATCTAACTTCCCTTTAAAAATGTGTTCCAATTCACTTGTTCATGTATGCTGTGTTAGGAGATTCAAACAAAGAATGAGTTTTGTTATCCTGTCCTTTTTTGCAGCATCACCAAATGCTGGCGTTTTGTATATCTGACAGCAAGTCAGATTCGAGGAGTGACTCTTTGTGCCTTAGAGCAGGTGAGGTAAAGCTGACTGAAGCTTGCATAGAAAGAACCCACTCTGGGCCAGGTCTACCAGGGATCCCTGTGAAGGGCAGCCAAAGGAACCAAGACAATGATGTTATGAATAGATTTTTTCATTTTCATGAACAAGAGATGACAGAGGAAAATAAAAGACGTACTCAGGCTCAGCACCTGGCACTTGGGGACATTGCCAATTCACAACCGCACAGCTTACCTTTCATTAGTTTCTATATCAAAACAGAACCGCTTGTCGATAGACTCCGTCTTCCTTCTCACACAGTACTTCAAGGTTAAGTCCAAGGGCCCCTGATATAAGATAAGGATTAATAGCTAATTTGAAAAACAAATGCACAGAAGCTTCTTCTGCCTCCTGCAGTGTCCTCAGTGTCACTTGGAAAGCATCTCTCAAGTAAGCAGGAACATTGTGTAGCCTCATTGAGAACCTTGTCTCTTCAAATGGTAGTCACAGTAAGATGGCAGATGGTTTCTCCGTGATCCAAGAATCAATGGCTAAGACCAGGAGAAAATGCTCAGGGTAGGCCAGCACTTCTTTCCAAGCATGGTAGATTAAATAGGAAGCTCATTACACATCATATAGAGGGAGTGTAGGAGAAATGGGCTGCCTAAATGGCATTAAGTATAATACAGAATAAAATTTTAATGAGACCACTGGGTATGAAGGTTACAGTGGACAAAAGGCTTTTTTCAGTTCTCTTTGCATTAAAGTGGCATGTGGAGGAGAGGAGACAAATATTTCTATTCTCCACCTCTAGATTCGAGGATTGACAAGAATCAGAAAATCAATCTCTCCAAAGATAGGGTAGGAGCAGAGAAAGCAAGCAAATTTGCATACTTATCAAGGTGGAATTTGGTATATCATATGTGCAGGATAGCGTGCCTCACCTTGTTTTTTTTTCTTTTTTTATTGGAATATAGCTGATATGTTATAGTATATTGGTCTCAGATGTACAACATAATGACTCAATAATTATATACATTACTAAATGCTTGCCACAGTAAGTGTGGTTACTCCCTGTTAACCATAGTCTTGCAGGCCCTCACAAAGTCAAAGAAATCCACTATATCCATAGGTTTAAAAAAATTCCCAGTCCCACATTCTTCAGTTTCCCTCTATTATCTCAAAGGAGGCAATGTGGTATAGGAAAGAGAAGTAACATTTATTGATCACCTACAATGTGACATATATTATGCTATATATACCTTCATAAAAACCCTTAGAAGGAAGTGAAGCACAGAGAGGTAAAATGGCTTATCCAAAGTCACCCAAGTCAGTATAGTGGAAACAAGAATAGACCAGGAAGCTTGAAACCTGGGTATTTGTCGCAGTTATGCCACTCACTAGCAATGAGACCCAGGGCAAGTCATTTTCCATTTCTGAATCATAACTTCACCATCTGTTAAGTGGAAATAGTACTACCCACCTTGCTGTCTTGATTTCAGGAACAGTGTCCAAGTGCTAAGTCTGTGCCTAGGCACTATGCCATGAAATTAGCCCATACACTGATTATCCAATACTTTTTTCTCATTGGCACACTCAACCCACGTGTAGGCCAATCCTTTTGCTTCTCCTGCACTGTAAAAACTCAACTCAATTCTAAATTCATCCTATAATCTGTGTTCCATACCCCAACAGTTAGGATACCAAACACTGTCAGTGTTTCAAGATGAGAGTGATTAACAGCATCATACATGCACTTTCCCTCTTTAAACTTTCAACTCCCTCAGATTGGTGGCGTCACAGCTCAGCAGCCTAGGCCATGCACACCACTCTAGACTCACCTCAAGCCAACCCCATCTCTTTTATGCCCTGTAAGTGCAAAAGTACTCTTATTTCACACATCCATCAAGTTCTTTCATGACTCCATAATTTTGCAAATACTGTTTCCTCTACCTCAAATGACTTTATCTATATTTTTTGCCTGGCTAAATTCTCACTGGTTCTACACATGGCAGTTCAGCTTTCATTTCCTCCAAAATCCTTCCCCAATCCCATACATTACCCAGTATGTGTTTTCTACATTATATAAAGGTTCCTGTTTTCATGTCTGATTTCCCCACTTCACTGAGAATTCCTCAAGGACACGGACATTGTCTTATTTATCTTCATTTCTCTAGTACCTAATAAACAGTCCTTAATAAATGTTTAGGACTACCTTATAATCCTTGCCATTTTTCTGATGAGGAAAATGATACTGAGCAACATTAAGTAATTTATTCAATGTCAAAAAGCTACCAGGCCAAAGAGCTTGGATTCAAACCCAGTTTTTGAGTCTCAGAATGTGGCACTCTTTCCTCTTACTACAACTGCTTGACAGGGAAGGGATGAAGATTTTATAAAATAGCATTTCACAGGATAACCTGTAAAGTGAGCAGCACAACACAACATAAATGGAAGTTGGTAGGCTGAACTAGAAGGGAACATTACTAAGTACCATAATCAAAAAGAGGGCCAATTCCTCCATCTTCTAATTTGGTTAATAATATTTCACAATGCTACTGGTAGAGTAAATGAGGCACATGATAGAAAACGTCTAGCTCAATGCCTAACACACAGCAGAATTTCAATATATAGTGGCTTTTCAAACATGAACAAGTAGAACTACATCATACTAAAAACATTGCTGTATGGCAAAGGACACCATCAACAAAACAAAAAGACAATATGGGAGAAAATATTTGCAAATTATTTATCTGATAAGGGGTTAACATCCAAAATATACAATGAACTCATAAGCCTCAACACCAACAAAAATGGGCAGAGAACCTGAACATACATTTTTCCAAACAAGAAATACAGATGGCTAATAGGCACATGAAAAGATGTTCCACATCTCTAATCATCAGAGAAATGAAAACCAGAACCACAATGAGACACAACCTCACACCAGTCAGAATGGCCACTATCCAAAAGACAAGAAATAACAAGTGTTGTTGGTGAGGATCTGGAAGAATGGGAACCCTTCTACACTGTTGGTGGGAATATAAATTGGTACAGCCACTATAAAAAACAGTATGGAGGTTCCTCAAAAAACTAAAAGTAGAAATGCCATGTGATCCAGCAATTCCACTCCTAGGAATTTACCCAATGAAAATAAAATTCATGATTTGAAAAGATCTATGTACCCCTATGTTTACTGCCACAGTATTTACAACAGCCAAGATACAGAAGCAACCAAACTGACCATCAATAGATGAATAGATAAAGAAGAGGTGGTATATATGCACAATGGAATATTATTCTGACATAAAACAGAAAGAAATCCTACCATTTGGGACAACATGGATGGGTCTAGAGGGTATTATGATAGGTGAAATAAACCAAGTAGAGAAAGACAAACACCATGTGATTTCATTCATATGTGGAATCTAAAAACAAAAGAAAACAAAATGAAGAAAACAGCAATAGACTCATAGACAATGAGAAGTGACTGGTGGTTACTGTGTGGGAGGGGTTGGGGTGGTAGGTGAGGTGGGGGAGGGGGATAAAGAGACACAAAAATCTCAATCATATTATAAGATGGTCACAAGGATAGAGGAGCAGCATGGAGAATATAACCAATGTTTTGTAGTATCTTTCTACATTGATAGGTAGTAACTGCATGAGCTGGGGTAAGGATTTAATAAGTGTGTAACTGCTGAATCTCTGTGTTGTATACTTGAAAGCAATATAATATTGTATATCAACTATACTTCAGAAATATATGGTGGCTCTTTATGGTGTTATTATTATTAAGTCTAATTTATTTTCATTATTTACCTTTCTAAAACACAAGCTAGAAATAGGGACTGAGAGAACTGACAAGAAGAAATCACTTCCAATTCCAGTTTAGGGAAATTAAAGTAACCATTTCCACCTCCCCTCCCTTTTAAAAGAAAATTAAGTTTCTCTTTCTATTCTATGAGGAGGCCCTATTAAAACTGCTTAGGCTGACACTATTGCAGTTTTGCAAGCAGCCACTTAATGAAAAAGGAAGAGGGTAAGAAAAGCTAAAAGGAAAGCCTATTTTCATTTCCTAAGAGGATATGAAAGTGTTGTCTGCTGCATCTGTCTTGAGCTATGCAGTAGGCACCTCTAAGCAGGAGAGGAAGGGCCTAAATGAGCTTATTGTCTAACAGAGGAACTTCAGTGTCTAGGATTTGGCAAGTAATGCATGTAGAAAAAGAAAAGAGACTACAGGACAGTGTAGCTGATACATCAACTAAGTTCTGACAGAACTGGAACAAATTCTGTGCTGCAGCACAAGATGAATTCATTGGAACCACAATAAAAGATGCTTTGGCAATTAGCACACTGGAAACTAAGTACAGCTTTGGAGTCATGAATGAGTAACTGGCCCACATAGAAGAGGCAAGAATGAGGATTCTGGAAGCCCTGATTGGTATGCTTCATTAGAGGTGCATTCCATCTCCAATCTACATTCAAAGCAAAGTGGCAAAACTTGTGGTTAAAGGGAAAATACAAGCAGTTTTCAACAACAAAAGCTTCTCACCAAATCTAACTCTTCCCTAATTTCCTATGAACAGCCACATAAGAGAGATCTTCCATGAAAAGCACTAACACTGGAGAAACAGCGGCCCAGTTTTTCTCTAAAGTACTGCTTATCTAAATTGGGTTTTCATGCACTACTACTTTCAATGCTGACAAGTGCACATATTTTCACTTTGTAAACAATTTGTAAAGAATATAAATCCTTAAAAATCATGCCCTAAGACCCTGTCTTAGAGATAGTTAAAAGGACATATTGACTACTTTAAAATATGAGCAGTCTATCAGATTTTATCTTAAGAAACCCTCTAGTATATGCACGCAAGTGTGTGTGTGTGTGTGTGTGTGTGTGTGTATATGTCTGTATGTGGGTGTGTTCTCAAAGTCTATACAAAGATAGGAAAAAAGTGAGATAATAAATTTTTTGGCTGCATGGTCATCAATATCATATAATATAATGTAATATAGTATAGCATAACATAGCATAGCATAATCTGTAATATATAAGATCAGGCTCTTCCAGGTGAGTAAATCTCTTTTCAGTGTGTTAAACTCATTTTGTCACTTTGGGGGTTGAGGGAAAGTTTGGATGCCAGAGGAAAAAGCATTATTTAATTAAAGATATTTAACCATTGCATAGAATGTGAAGTATAGGTTATTACAACCTTAGGCAACAGACATACTCCATTAAAAAAAGATTTTTTTTAATGATTTATATTTTAACACTTGTTATTTAAAGGAACCATATAGTAGAGACTTCTAGTAGAGACTTCTTAAAAGCAATACTCTCTTCCTCCAATTCATCCATATTTTTGAAAATTTCCTTTGTACTATGTGACAGGCACTTGTAATAATTTAATAAATGGTCTGAAGGAGTACCCTCACTTTCAGAAGGCCTGACATAATTAATGGAGATTTTTTATTTCCTCAATTGATTAGTATCTGGCCCAGTACAAACTTAGGCCAAGGAGAACATACGAAGACATGGCTTCCTGTGATAGCAGTGGACTTTATTCTTTACACTAAGTCAACATAAACTCTTCTCTGAGATGCAGTCACAAATGCATTTCAACAAACATAGCATACAAAGAACTGACCTGCTTAGCACCTGGCTTCTGCTCCATGGGCATCATGGTGAGCGTTTTGGTCTCTTTCTCATACCGGCAGTAGTATTTCACCCAGGATATTCCCAAAGCCCCTACAAAGATAGGCAAAAGTAAGCTGACAGAATAAAAAATTTGGCTGCATGGTCAGTGCATCCCTAAGATGGAAGCTGCATATAGCTTGCTCTTCTGGGTAATGCTCCATATCCAGCTCAACCCTCCCCCAGAGCTCCAGCCCTACAGTGCCACCTGCTCACTGCACATAGGGAGATCCCAGTTCTCATCAACTGCTTTCCACATCTGTTCTGGCTTGCTGCAAACCACTTTCCTTGCCACGTTCCCTATAAATATTACCAATGCACATCTTACTGTATCTAACTGGAAGTATCTGTCATCTTCTGCTCCTCCTTCCCTATAACCTGCCCCACTAGATTGGTGGTTGGGTTCTGACCATTCTCCTATATGTCTCTCCTTCAGCTGTCTCCTCCTCTCCACACCTTTAAGAACTGAATTAGTTCAGGACCCTATTGCTGACTTTTTTTTTTTACTGTGTTATGAGATATTTCAAACAAAACAAAAATTTACTATTTCTCCAATTAATTATTTCCATGGGTTTATCTATGGTTTCCCCATCTCTAGTAACTCCTTTCTAGTCCATTCTTCACTATCTTTTTAGAGGAATATTTTAAGACATATATTTCTAGTTAGGTTATTTCTCTTATTATAAACCATCCCTGGCTTTCCCACTATCAAAAAAATTCCTTAAGTTGGCCCACAAAGTTCCTCATAATGTGATATTTACCTTCCCACTTTGTCTTTTGCCACCCTAATCTCTATGTTCTTTTTTCATTGAATTACTTTCAGCTACCAAATAAATAGGTGGCCACATAATTTATAGCCCAAATTCAAGACATATTTGGGTGTGAATGGGATTCTATTAATAATTATATCAGAATAACAAGTATAAATCAGGACTATTCTTGACAAACCAAGACCATACAAATAAACTACATCCTCACATACCTCTGTGCCTTTACTCATGCAGTGGTATATACCTGGCATTTTCTTCCCCCTTTTCTTTACCTGTCAAACTCCTGCTCTTAATTCAGGTTCCAGTTCAAACTTCACTTCCTCAGTAAAGTCCTTAGATATATGCCCTGAATGCAGTCCTCAACACATTTCATTATAATTCTTAATATATTTCTCTGTCTTCTTCATCAGACTGTGAACTTCTAGAGGGCAAAAACCAGTGTTGATTCATTTTGTGTTTGTATCCCAGTGAACTGCATATTGTCTGGCAAAAAGGATCCTCAGTAAGCATGCATTCAACTGGGTACAGTGCCATACCCATGTAACAAATTAGAAAACCGGGGCATAGAAGGTTCACATGGCAAATTGATATTATAGCTGAAATTACAAACCCATTATTTTGTACCTCTTTTAAAATATAGCAGTGGTTCTCAACCAGGGGCAATTTTGCTTCCCAGGCGACATTTGGAAATGTCTAGAGACATTTTAGTTTATCACACTTGAGGAGTACTATTAGAATAAAGTGGGGAGAGGTCATAGATTCTGTTAAACACCCAGTAATGCAGAGGAACCTCTGGGTAGCCTCTTCTGCCTACTCCCCAGGTAGAATAATTCTGAGCAAGGACTAAAATCACGGGCTTTAGGGGTACTTGGTCACAGTTCATAAGCTAAATCAAGTTAACAGATATATATTTTCATAATGTTATTTAGGAAGTAGGAAAGCTTGAATCCTCTGCAATATTCAGAGGCTAGATAAGTCAACCCATTTTTTTGGGTCAGCAATGAACAACTGTCTTCCACACTGAAATTACAATGGTCATTTAGTGCTTTAAGAGCAACCATGTGATCCTAAGGCAGTGGAAGGTATAAGATGTAGTGATAGAAGCATAGGTTTTGACATTTCATAGACAAGTTTACTCCTAGGCCTGCAACTTGAATAGTCGGGTGATTTTCAAGTAGTGATCTCTCTAAGACTCAGTGGCCTCAGGTGTAAAATGGGTATGATAGGGTGGTTTCAAAGATTAAAGAAGATAGTACATTTAAAGCATTTAGCATCATGATTGGCACCTAGTAGATGTAATAAATATTTTTCTGCCTCCTTTCAACTGTGGCCCTTTTGCCTCAGTCAAAGAGTCATCACAAGGATTAAATGATTAAAAGTCCCCAATTTGAATTTCAAAGAAAACATTAAATCTTACCAAACCAGAACCTTTGTAAGACAAATTCTTAACCTCCCCCTACAATTTCTCCTTCCTTTTTATTTTCAGTATTCCCAGACTGCTGTCCAAAAAGGTGTAGCTCTCAGGAGTTTGTGAAAAATACAGGTCCCCAGAGTTTGGAAATGCCATATGGCAATAGGTGCCAATCTAATGAAACCCAGTGGATATCTCTGTATTCCTACACACATTTCTCTTGCGTATAGAGGTAGCCTTCAATGGTTGGCTGTCCTGGAAGTTTGCATGTCTGGGGAGCTTCTTTCATCCTTCTCTTAAGTTCTTCCATCTCTTCCCGAGTACTGGAGAAATGATTTCTTGTCTGTCAAGACATTGTCATCATAATCATTAGCATCATCACATCATCATGAATAAACACTTATTGGTCAGAGACCTAGTGCAGTTTTCTGGGCTTGTATATGTGCTACAACACAGCAAAAAAACAAATGTTGAATGGCATAGTGACTAGAAAAAAATTTTATGGATTTAATAATACTAAAGACTAAAAAGGAAAAAAAATAGTAGTATACACGAAAAACAAATCTGGGAGACTTTTTTCTAATGGGGGTCACATTAAGTCTCCAATAAATAAGGGCTTTTAGAATCTTAAGCACCAGATTGACTCCCACTTTACAGAAAAGGATACTGGAAAGAAGGTTCACAGGGATATTATCATGGTAGCTTCTAAGTTCTGCCTCAAGTCAAGTTACTGCCTACTTGACTCTGAATCAAATTCTGGCCACTGGGATAAAATACATGAGAGGGTACTCTCTTTGAAGATAGGTCAACAGGAAAGTTATGTTTTCATACTCATAAATAACAAAAAGCTAACAGTAAGAAGTAATATATTTAAAACTATATAACTAAAACACAATGACAAGACACAATTTGAAATGTGGGTATGAAAATTATTAAAGACAGGTCCTTAGTGTTCAGTCTCAAGATTGTGATATAATGTCAGTGAAAAGGTTATCTAGGTTGCCCTATCTTGTTAAGCCCACTCCACTGATTAGTCTGTAAATGAGTTTGCTATATATATATATGTATATATATAAAGCCTTGTTGTTAAACTCACACTTGTCAAGTCATATTTAGAGGAAGATTCATGTGACTATCTGGTTACAGAAATATTTCATAAAGCAACAGAAGATAGTGGCTGTCACATTCTGAGCATGCCCAGAAGAAAGGAGAGTACCCAGAAAGAAAAACAACAAAGTCTGTAAGTCAGGATACTTCTAAACAACCAAGTACATTTACTTCTACTGCAACTTACCAATCTTTTTCATTAGAAATGCATCTACAAATTTCATACAATGTAACAATCAGTCCGAAGTTACTATTCAGTAATACCTTCTCTGATTGTCTACTCTCTGTGTTTCCTAAGAATTTTTGGTCATAACTCTATTGTAGCATGTATCATAAGAATTTATAATTTATCTGTGCTCATGACTCTCTCCTCTAAGAACTGTATGTTCCTTGAAGACAGAATAACTAACATGTCAAATTATGGTATGGACAATGTATTTTATAATGTGTAACATAGAGTATATGCTCATTATTTCAATCAGCATTCATGAAATGTGAGTTAAATAAATGAATGAGAAAAAGAATATGTATGATAAGGATATAAGGTCTATAAGAACCATCATGAGAAAGAAGGTAGAAAAAACCTTTAAAAATAATTTATTTAACTCTAGGAGCAAATAGTGAGAAAAGGAAGAGAGGGTAAAATGGGCATTCATGGTAATAAAACCTACAATGATGCTGGGCATAGAAGCCACAGGGCATAAATCTGCAAAAAAGTAAAAAGCTAACCTTTTCAAACAATATTGCTTCTCTCTCACTTGCCAACTTTACATTTCCCTGTATGGCCCCGGAAGACGACTGGTTAGCCAGAGACGGGTAAGATTCCTCAAGGGAGGAACAACCTAAGACAGGCACAGTCACAGGGGGGCCATCAG